TAGCACAATTACTCATACAACATGTTGTAGGTGGTATTAAATCATTATCTCTTGAATCGTATGATGAAGATGATTGCCATCGATAGCAAATCGAATTTTTTAAAATTTGATACGATTGCCTACTAACAACACGTAGAAAATCATTAATCATCTGGAAAAAAACAGTACTATCATTTTCGAAAGAAAAGAGAATCATATGTGAATATCAAAAAAAAAAAGGAAAAGAGTCATACGTTTGTAATTCACAAAAGGGATTAACATAAAAGAAAATACATAACAAAAGTGATTAACTTTAAGAAAATAAAGACGAGCGACGAATATATTTTATCAAGGTATCAAATGTTACGAATGATACACCTACAGATATTGGTCCTTTTAACCAATTCATTGTTACACCTTTATATAAACCACGTGTGATTCCTTCTTCACGAATTATTTTACTTGCTGTTGCAATAGCACCTAAAGATGCTTCATTTGGTCGAATAACAGCAGCAGTTTGTAATCTACGTCGTATAACATCAAATGGATATGAAACTGTTTGACCAACAAGACCAGCAGTAGCACCGAATAACATTCGTTCAGCTTTATTAATGGGACGATGGGAATGATAATCTATATTATAGACATATAAATATATACTTTTTTCTTATATTTATTCAATTACCAATACGAATATGTTTGAGCGATTCATAAGTAAAAAAAACACAACCAGAATATGGTAATACACCGACTAACGATAAAAGTGCACCTCGATATAAAGCTGTAACACCTTCATTTTTTAGGATGCTTAGAAAGACGGAGAATAAATTACTATACCTAAAGAAAATAAAATACAATTAAGAATTGATTACATTCAAAAGATACATACACAGTTTTATTCGTCACTGCCATACGCGCACGTGCTAAATCAAGTGGATAAGTAATCGTTGCTGATGTAACACCTGCTAAAGAACCAGAAATAAATCGTCGACCAGGAGTTTTTCTACAGAAAATAAAATACATTATTATCTATTTCATAGATATTTTTACTCGTGTTTATCAGTGCCAAGGATACGTTTCCATTGTTCATGTGCTGTAAAATTAATAGCTGCTGAAGGAATGACACGAACTAAATTGGCTGAATTTCCACGATACCAACTCATAAAACCTTCATTTCGATATGATTCTTTTAGAAATTTAAAACAACGACGATAACTAAATTTATCTACTCTAACTAATAAAATATAAGAAGTTAAATTAGAAAATATTTATCAAATTAATCTACCTTGGAAATTAATTTTCGCTCGATCAAATGGTGCAATGGTTGTTTTCGCTAGGGCACCTAAAATACAAATCAATAACATAATTCAAATCTTCTATATTATTATCACATACCTGCACAAGCGCCAGCAATGAGGGAAGAAACAATTTTTTGGGTATTGGAAAGCTATAAAGAAAAATAAACAATATTTAAATATATAGATTAAATTCAAATCTTATCAAATACGTTTGCGTGTTCGTCTACTTGGTCTGCCATTTTTATGAAAATTATTCATCATCCTTTGAAATGAGAGACATTAATCACCGGACAAGAAACATAATAAATATATATGTATATATCTAGAATAAAGTAATATTCTTGATTATTTTTCAAGTTTTAAAAAATATTGATGCATATACAATAATAGATAATCATTTTTTTCTAAAACACATGTTATACTATATAATGATTATAATATGAGCATTCTGGAAATTGGCTTGCGTAATCAATTCTCTTTTCGTAACGCAATATGTAAAGGTTAATATGGGTTAACTATTAATTGATTTATTGTTATTTTAACTGATATTTACAATGTTACTAAATGTTATTTGATATGGATCAAAACAATTTTTATCCGGTCCAGATCATTTCATGTTTGAAATGTGGCTGTTTTCGGTTGTTAGAAGATAAAAAGAGAATTAGATTTCTACGTATTTTGATTTTTCGATTGTGAAACAATGGAGAAACAACAACGAACAATTTCAATAACTTCAACTAAATCATCTCCAGAAGTAGCAGTTGCTAATCTCGATCCTTTATTACAGTCAATCAATGATGTAAATGATGATATAACATATTTTGATCGAAAATCATCGATTTTTTATCATCCTGCTAATATTATCGATGAAAATGATGAAGAAAATATTGATTCCAATCAAAAAGTTCATATTTATACAAAATGTTTTTGTTATATAAAAAGATTTTCTGGAATTTTATATTCTTTAATAGCTGCTTTATTATTTACATGTTCAAATTTTATTATAACACAACTTGATGTTGTTTTATTAGATGTATTTCTTATTCGATTTATTATTCAAGGATTAATTTCATATGTATATATTACTTATAAAGATTATCATGTATTTCCATCGAATATTAATAATTTACTAATGTTTAGTCGATCATTCATGGCTGCTATGGGTAGTGTTTGTTTTTATCTTGGTCTTGAATTACTTCCATTACCTGAGCTATCAACATTACGATATACACAAGTTATCTGGACAGCTCTTCTTGTTTTAATTATATTTCGAGAACGAATTACATTACCAATAATTATAGCAAGTATATTAACACTTATTGGTGTCATTTGTGTAGCTCAGCCAACAATTCTCTTTACAAAATCAAAACCGATTAATGAAACATTACAAATGTCATTAAAAAATGATGATCAACGTTTAAAAGGTGTATTTGTTGCTATATTTTGTGCATTTTCAATATCAATGGGTATTGTATTAAATAAAAAATTACTTGAACAAAAAGTTCGTCAAAGTGTAATCATGTTTCATTTTATTTTGACAACAACTTTTATGTTATTAATAACTCAAACATATTACTGGGTATTTTCAAAAACAAATCATCGAAAATTCAATATAAAAGAAATTTATCTAACTGAAAATTTTATTTATGCAACAATTCTTGCAACATTACAATTAATACCAATGGTATTAACACAAAAATCTATTAAACGTGAACATCCATCAATTGTAACAGTTGTACAAGCATCCGAAATACTTTTTTCTCTTATATTACAAAATATATTTCTAGCAAAGAAATCAAATGGACTTGCAATAATTGGTTCAATACTTGTTCTTACAAGTATTTTTATTCTTGGTGGTCATAAACTTTGGTTAGATCGACAAAATCGCACACATCAATCAATAAAAATACAAAGGAAATAAATAATCATTCATAAAACTCAAATGATATTTTCTAAAATTACTAATACTGCTGAATAAGAACGATAGTATACATGCAGTTACTACGTGGCTACATTGCGCTCTTAAAGTGCAAAAAATTTTTAATTAAAAGATAAAAATAAATGATGTACTAGAGACTATGGGAGTTAAAGTCAGTTGTTTTATATAAGGTGCGTATATAAAAAGAAAAATGACGTTTATAATGTTCTATTAGAAGAAAAAAAGCAAGTAAGATAACATATATTTAGAAAGAATGAAATCAGAATCATATACTATTGAGAAACATGACTTAATAGATGATAATAATATTTGTACGAATGATCCTCTTATTGAACCATTAATTGATACAGATGAATTTAAATCAATAAATGATAATGATGAAATAATTAATAGCTATGAACGAAAATATACATCACTTACTACACTTCATTCACATAAAGAAATTCAAACAAAATCAACATGTTCTCAAATAATTACACGATGTACTGGAATATTTTATGCACTTTTTGCTTCATTTCTTTTTACATGTTCAGGTTTTATAATCAAACAATTACGTGTTGATTTTTTTGATGCACTTTTTGGTCGATTTACTGTACAATCATTTATTTTACTAACGTTTACATTGTGTAAAACAAAAAAATTTATTCATGGTTCAACTAAATTAATTATTCTACAAATTATTCGTGCTATTCTAGCAGCCAGTGGTTTAATTTTATTTTTTGGTAGTTATCGTTATATACCTCTACCAGATCTAACAACATGTCGTTATACACAAGTAATTTGGACAGCAATTTTAGCGATGATTATTTTTCATGAACGTATATCAATATCAACACTTGTAGCTATTATATTTACACTAACAGGTGTAACATTAGTTGCACAACCCACATTCTTATTTAATCATAATAATCATCAAATCTTATCAAATCAAAGTAAAATAATATTAAATAAAACAGATGTTATTGATTATGAATCTGATAAATCTTATCGTTTACTTGGCCTTTGTCTTGCACTTGGATGTGCTCTATCAATATCAGGTAGTATGGTAATTAATAAAAAATTATTAATGTCAAAAATTCCTCAAAGTATAATAATGTTAGAATTTTCTCTCTTAACATTAACTTTACTTATTCTTAATCATATATATAATCGTTTTATTTTACATAAATATGATAATCAAACAATGTTTACATGGCAATTTTTTCTTGCTGCATTTGTTTCATTAATACAAGTATTATCATCAACAATAACACAAAAAGCAATTAAACTTGAACATCCATCGATTATTTCTGTTGCTCAATCATCAGATATTCTATTTGCAATTATATTACAAAATTTATTTTCGAAAGTTAAATCAAATTGGTTCGTTTTAATTGGGTCATTTCTAGTTACAACAAGTATTTTCCTCGTTGGACTTGAAAAATTTTCGAAAGATCGTAAGAAACTACCAAATAATAGTCAATCGAATACAAAATAAATGAATTTAACATACCTATTGAACAAATACGTCGAGTTTATTAACCTAAATGTATTAGACTTTATTAGAGAAAATAACAGATTGTTTCTAACATGAGTAAAATTTTCCATTGAATTACATCTAAAAACAGATATATTCTGATTTATATTATTTCGTTTCTGTTAAATTAAGATTTTAAATATTGAACTATTAAAAAATTTATTTAAATAAAAACAAAAATGACTAAAAAAAATCATTCCCAAGAAAAAAAGATAAGATCTCTAAAGTATACTGACAATTTTAAATTAAATGAGATAAATAACATGAGTATATTTTAATTAAAAACCAAAACAAAAAAAAATCCCTGAGATATTCTATGAATAAGCAGCAGTAAGTCGTTGAAAAAGTAGCTCTTGTCTAAGCGGATCATTATTATCAGACATTGTTGTATTTGATCTCATAGCCAAAAAAATGTATGCACCAATAAATTCATGTATACATTTACTATTTGTACCATATAATGGTAAAAATTGTATTAATTCATCATCAAATTCAATAGTAACTAATTTTTTATCCCAATTAACATTCCATGAACACATTCGAGATATCCACCATGTTTTTAATATATCACCTGTCATTGTCATACGTAAAAGACGATTTGATGCAATACCAAGTAATTCCTAAATAAATATTATGAGAAAATAACAAACGATTATAGTTTTTTTACTTCTTTTTTATTTGAATCTTTAAATTTAACAATAAATGTTGAAATACCAAATTCAGGTAATGATTGCCAAAGTTTTAAATACCGTAATTTAGCTTCTGTACCATCTAAATTACTTATAGCAGCATGTGCTTCGAGAATACGTTCAGTTAACTAAAAAGAAATCAGACATTCTAATTATTCAAATCAATGGAAAGTCAACAAGTAATGCTCGTCCGAGGACTCGCTTAGCTCTTTGTCGTAGAAATGCATCTTCTTCACATTTTCTGGATAAACAATTAAAACCTGATCTTCGATGTTTTTTTGACCCTGTGGACACAAGCAAACAATTTATGTTTACTGGACTCTTCTCTACGAGAAAGAGAATATTAGCTAAATTATTATTACTTTCTATCAGACATACATATAAAGATAACAAGTATTTTTATTTACTATAATTAAGATAATTATTTGCTACTAATATCTCATTGTCAGACGTCTTTGTTATTCTTGTCTCCTATATATTCATAAGGGAAATTAATGAGCAATTAATTTAATTATCTACTATAAAATAACAATAGTTCATATCGAAATGTTTACTATTCATTCTGTTCTTACATAAATCAATGCTTTAAATATGTAAGATCGTCGTGAAGTATATATTTTTTATTTTCGGACAATAATATATTATATCAAATAAACTTTATGAAAAAAAAGTAATTCGATGAATTTGTCCGTTGAATGAAAAAAACTTATTTTTTAGATATACGAACCTGTTTAGGTTTATATTTTTTTGAAAATTTTATTGATACATAATTCTCTGGTTGAATATCACATTTCGTATGTTGAGAATTTGATAATGGTAGTTGCATATTAAGTAAAGCTAATATTGATTCTCGTTCCGTTTCATAAGATGGTTCATCTATAGTACGACCTTTTGATGCAAGACGAAATGCAGCCATCCATGTTGCATATTGTTTTATCTTAGAAAAAAAAGTTAGTATTTATTTTAGTATAGATTTATTTAATATATATACTGTTGAACATTTAATTAATATTTCATTCATTCCATCAATGGATGGAATCATTAAACGAATTGAATATTTTTTTGTTGATATATTTACATCGGGAAGAATTTCTGAACCTTTAAGTAAAATTTTTTCAATCGGTGTACTATGTTGTTGACATTCGTCTGTATAATAATTTAATTGTGTATTTCGTAAAACAAACCAATAACGTTTAAATGATTTAAAAATAAATCGACGTGGTTTGAATATACGTAAATAATCACATAAATCATTTTTCGATTGTTTGAGAGTATTTGATTGTACTAGTGAATGTATTGATTGACTTTTAGTTTTTCCTAATAAAGAATTTTGTAAACGATTAAGAGCTTGATCAATATCTGTATTATCATATTCATGATTAAGATCATCATTTAAAGAGTTAATTATTATTTTTGATGAAGATTGAATTTGAACTTGAAGCTGAAAAAGAAAATTATTTTGATTTAATTCATAAATTTATTCTTTACTTGTAAAGCAGCAAATGTCATCATTTCTTCTTCTGTACAGTCAATATCTTTAGTTAAAATCGACCATTTAGCTTGTTCATATAATTGATTCAATCGTATAGCATCAGTCTATAAATAATTAGAATAAAAACAGCACAAAATTCGTTTGTTTTTTGAATTACCTTAGGATTTAAATCATAGAATGAATAATATTTAAAACGTAATAAAATTAAATCATTCTCATGAATATTTTGTTCCATAAGTGATATTGATGAATCAAACCATAAACTATTTAATTTACATTTTTCAATTAAATTTATTGGTCGTAATAATTGAGGTACAAATTGTTTTGTTGTTATTAATGGTGTTCGAGCAAGATCTCGATCATTTATTGTTAAACTATTCAATGATTTTGATAGATTTGATATTGAACGTTGCTTATGGAATGTTGAATTGTTTGATCGAAGTTTTGGTGTTGTTGGAGAAAATGTTGATGAATTATTTGCTAATGAATCTCCAATTGAATGATGTCGATTAAGTGTATTTGAAAAATTTTGTTGACGATGTCGAGGTGATGTATAACATTCATTTGTATGATGTGAAACAATTGGTAAACGTAAGAATGATAGTTCTTCAGCATGACGAATACCTTTGAATACATAAATAAATTTAAATTGATTCAAAATATTATTTACCAAGATCTTTGCAAAGTTTACAAATTGATGCAAAAACCGAAACAGAAAAATCAACACGAATTGATAAAATACGTAAATCAGGTAGTTGTAAACGAATAAATTTATGTTTAGTTGTAAATGTTAGATTTGCATCAGATTGTATACCATATTGATCAAGTGTCCATGTTGTATTTGTTAGCCATATATTCGCTGTTGAACACCAAAGTGCATGATCAGACAAATCTTCAGACATATCTTTAAAAAACAAAATCTTAATATTTTCACTTTCTATACTCATTTAAGAATAAAATCATATGATTAACTAACCAAGATAATTCATGAATTGAGCTATAACTGCACCAATTGACATTGAACCTGTGACAACGACAATTTTTGAATCGATTGTTAAATTCCATGATGGTTGACTAGATTGTGATCGTTGTCCTATTGAAATTGACATTCTCTTCTTAAATCAATAGTAAAAGGACTTCGAACGATCATGGACCTTTATAATCTGAATTCTGCTGATCATTACGATGCATTTGGATTAACCAATCAAAAAAATTGTTGTTCATAACAATATTTCTATCGCCTCTTTCGACTATATATATTTATTTTTCGTAATAAATTTCATCATAAATATGAAAAAAATATCTTTTCAATAATAAGAAATTTTTTTATATCATTTGCAAGATAAATCCACACTTTAACTCGTCCATAATATATATATACGTATTCCATTATTTTGTTTCATTGATCGTTATAGTCTTATTTGTTCTGTTTTATTTCAGAGTTGAATCACTATCATTAAATTATGGCCGATTATAAAGCTATTGGAAAAGCTTTTCTTGATTTTTATTATGGTAGATTTGATGCAGGCCCACGAGAAAATGTAGCTTCACTCTATGTAAGTACTTTTATTTTTTTCAATTAATATATATATGTATATTTTTCAGGAACCTGTTAATGGCATGATGAATTTTAATAGTCCAGATTTTGCTAAAGGTGCTCAAGAAATAGCTGAAAAATTACGTTCACTAACATTTCAAACAATCGCTCACACAATATCAACAATGGATATTCAACCAACATACGATAGTTGTATTTTAATTATCGTTACCGGTGCTCTTAAAGTAAATCAAAATATAATTTTTGTATTATAAATAATTTCGTGTTTTTTTATTTAGGCAGATAATGATCCACCAATGCAATTTACTGAAACATTTCTTTTACGTTTTATTAATAATTCGTGGCTTATAATTAATAATGTTTTTCGACTTATTCTTCATGGTTGAACAAAAATTCGTTTGTTCTAGTTTAATTATTCTCCAATACGAAAGAAAAATAAACTTTAGAAAGAATAGAACAGTCAACTTGTTTATTAATATAAATTTATTCTTTTATTTCTATTTCGTTTTATTTGTTAACCTGTATCTATAAGAATATATAGACAAACAAAAGAAAAACGTTAATTAATCATTTCTTTTTATTTTTTTCCTCCTGTATTTCTTTCAATTATATTTTTCTATTCTTCTCTCTCTCTCTCATTGTCTAATATGATCATATATATTTATAATTATTTGTTTTAAACACGCTATAAAAAATTTATATTGAATTTCTAGATTAATTCTGTATGAATCATGAATCAATAAATTCGTGTCTGTCTATTTATGATATTAATAACCAATCATATTTCACTTATTGTACCTCTATAATAGTTTTGTTATTTTCTCTTAACTCATTGGTTTTCTGAGACGTTAGTTACAGTTCTGATAATAATCTCTTTGGATAGGATTTACCAACTTTACTTTTTGTTTGTCTCTTGCGAAAAAGAACTTCGTTATTTTAATAAACTACTTTGAGCGCTCGCCTCTACAACGAGTCAAAAAGCAAATATTATTAAAAATTCTTCCACATAATTCATTTTATATAAATTATTGTTGACGTGATGAGTTCTTGCCTACTTTTATACTGCATGCTAATATTAACAAGTAACGCGACGCAAACGTCGCTGAGCCCTCTACTGAAAAGATGTGATTAGATCCGTCAGTAGGCTTAAGGTAAGATAAATATTTGTTTTAGTCCATTAGTCGAATCACTTGATCACTTCTCAAAAAGTCTTTCACTGTGACTCATTTTACATCCTATAAGCTCTCAAACTAATGTCTAGTCGTTCGTCGGCTTCCCTTTGGTCGGCCACTCACGACTAGCCATCGATATGCATTTTCTATTTTCTCATCAGTCAGGTGAGCATTTTTACACATTCGAAAACTAAGTCGCACATATTGGATGGATTCGTAACCAAAGATTCCTAGAATTTACATAGCAGTATATGGCTTTCAGCATAGATTTCAATCTCTTCGTTAATTTTAGGAAAATGATAACCTGTTGGATTCATTCTCGAAGAGATCTTAGTTAAGTTCCTGCGAAACGTCGTTCAAGCTACTCAGGAATTTTAAAGCCTATCCATTGAATTAACTTTCCAAATTAACGTCTAGCCGGTCGGCCACTCACGACTAACCGTTTCTATGGACACCTCTACTATGTCCAAAATGCGATGAGCTTCTAGTAATACGATTTCGAAAAAAAAGTAAAAAGAGGAAGTACTGTTTTATGAGCTGTTACGAATAGAACATATTTGTTTCGCATAGTCCTTCGCATATTTGAAACGTTATTTATATGGTTGATGTCAATGAAGATGCAACAGAAGGGTCGCAACCAGATACCTCGTTTTCA